CGTCTAGTAGTCTCCGCGATGCGACTATCGCCTTGCGCTCCTCCTTATACTGCTGCAACGCTTTCGCTTTGTCTTCATCAGGCCCGACTGCGACTTCATCATCGCTGCTGAGACCCAGCTCTTCCAGCTTATTATCCAGAACGATTAACTGTCTGTCTGTCGCGGTAATTGCACTCTTCACTTCCTCCTGTTTCTCCGAAATCGTCTTCTTGATGTCCTCTGTAATGTGGCTATGACGCACAGAGCTATACCTGTAGGACAAATAAGTCACACTTGTTGAGTTGAATCTACTTAGTTAATGCTATTATTTACAGAGTTGCTATGCTCACAATTGAATTGACGGTTAGTTTACAGTTTTGGAACTGCTCAGACATCGCCTTGATTTGCCCTTGCTTGAGGAGTCCTACTTTCGCGCGATCTTGCCACGCCAGTTTCCCATCCTCTGAGTGCCTGGTCCATCGTTGAAGGTCGGTCCGGAAGAGAGAGCATGCTTGCGTGCAGCTGCTGATTGTCCTCTCTGACTCTTTACTAACATCTGAGCCAAGCAACTGCCACTCCCTATTCTCTACGCTTTGGAGAAGGCTAAGCGCTGCATCAACAGAGTGGACGTCCTCTAGCAGGCGCCTAACAGTCTTTGGTGCGTCTTTGAGCTGCTGTAGGTCATTTAGAAGTAGTCGTACGCCTTCTAAGGCTGGCGCAGTGATGCCCACGACTGCGGCTGTAATGCTAAGTGGGTCGGCCATTGTGGGTCTGACGGCGACTGAGGAATCAGCAAGGGTAGAAATGCTGAAGTAGAAGTCAGACTTAGGGAGAAAGAGGATAGAGCAAAGCTTGTTAGCTGATACAATTTGTATGAGGGGAAGCTGGGGCTGAGAGCCGAGAGCTGATCACATGAGGCTGGGTACGACTGGACTGTAACTACAGACAGCCTACTCGACTATCGCATACCTTACAGCTACACTTATGGCGCTAACGGCATCCTTTGGCGATATGAACTATGGCGTCCAGGCCGGCATTATTAATGGTGATGTAAACCCTATGATCAACCTTCCGCCTGGTGAGTTGCGAGCCGATCCGAGCTTAACAGCGCCAGACCCAGCGCTAACCTGCGGGCCTCCGCCTAGAGCGACGCGAAACTCCACCACAGCCATCCATCGTGATACCTTTCGCCCGAGACGCAGATTTTGTCGACAGAGGCACACTGCTCGACGAGTTCCGTGAGCGATGCACGCAGCCAAATGCAAGGATAGCGCTCGTCGGACTGGGCGGGGTAGGGTAAGCAGCACGAGTGCTTCTTGGACACGGAGCACGATACACTGACAGATGCGCAGTAAGTCACAGCTAGCGATCGAGCACGCCTACCGCACGCGCGAGCAGTCGTCAGAAACATGGGTGTTTTGGGCCCACGCTAGCAACGCCGCCCGGCTGGAGCAAAGCTTTCACGATATTGCCGACCGCGTCAGGATCGTAGGACGTCAAGATTCGCAAGCCAACATCTTCAAGCTGGTGCACGACTGGCTGTGCGACAGCAAGCAGCCATGGCTGCTCGTGCTAGACAACGTGGACGATGCCAGCTTTCTACTCGAGGCCCAACCTGCCAGCTCCAAGACCGCAGCTAGACCGCTGCGCGAGTACCTCCCC